CTCCTTCTTCTTCTCTGTTCTGGTGCTCTGCTGCAATTGTCTGCTGTTGGGGCCTTGAATGGGATGGGATCCTGGATGTCTAACTTGAACTTGTGTGTGTGTGTGTGTGTGTGCGTTGTGTGTTGGAGATGGATATGGTGGAGCAAGGAGAGCAGCGTCAAGTGAGTCTCCCTTTCCGTCTCTTTCTTATGTCAGCTTCGCTGCCGCTGCTTCTCCTTCTGCGGTTTTTCTGTTTCTGCTTCTTTTTTGTTGCTTTTCTGCGGTGATGATATCATTGCCTGCCATGTGTGTGGGGCTGTGTGTCTGTGTGTGTCAGTCAGACAGTTGCTACTTCACTTTCTGTCTCCCCCCCCTCGCCGACTTCTCGTTCCACATATTCGCATAATTTCTTCGTTTTTTTTTGCGCCACATTATCTCTTTATCAGTTGACAGAGAAGACCTTGAGACGCCTCGCTGCCCATTAAGCGGCTCTGCTCTGCTTAGAAGGGTTCGCACAGTGGGCTGGGGTAAGGGGTTAGGGGTACGACAGGAAGCCATCTCCCTCGCAAATTGGGTAGCAAATCAAGCAAATCAGTTTCAATTCAAAATCCAAACACTTTCGAGGGCCAATAAAAACGGAAACACACTGCACTTGTCCCGCTGACTCCTCTCCTGAAAAGGACTCGAAAAGAGGGAAACCGAAACCCAAAAAAAACCAGACACAAAATTATAATTATAATAACCCTGATGATAATGAAGCCAGCCCACTGTTCGGGCAGTTTGCAGTTTTTGGGGGAACTTCGAACATGTGAAACAGGTTGAGCGAACACGATAAGTACCAGAATGATGCATACATGCATATATATTATATGCATAGAGTGGTGGGAAAAAGTCTGTATACCATCTCCACATTCTTCAGTATAGAAGCATCTATTGGAATATCTGAGTACCGAGGCTTTCCGTTTAACCCTCTCCATACAACACGGATAGTCCGATGCTTTCAAAATGGTATTCCATTGAAGCTGGGAGACTGTCTCGGGATATGCTGATTTTGAAAATGGGGATCGTACGCAGACTTTTTGTGGCCACTGTGTGCATAGGCATAAGGCCATTTGCACACACTTGTCGTTTAGTCATTTTTGGACATTTATTTTGACTGGCGGACGATCGAGGCGACGAGGATCAGTGGGGGGCAGAGGGAGGAGGAGAGAAGGAAGGAAGACAAACACCGCATAAAACAGAATTATAATAATTATCGAAAATTTGGTTTATGACAAACTGCAGGAGCATGCCTGCCTATCCATGTGTCTGCATGGCAGTCACATGTACGTATGTGTGTGTGTGTGTGCCAGTGAGCGAGAGTGTGAATACATGTGTCGAGGTGCCGCAACAATGGCAACGTTGCGGCCTCGTCTGGACCATATTTCTTTTGGGCGGACATCTCCCGTGAGATGAGATGTTCCTCAAACACTATATGCTCCAAGCATAAAGAAGGTGAGGTGGTGGGATTCGGTGCCCAGTAGTCGTCTTTTTTAATTAAAGAATCAAAAAAGAAAGAACTCGGCTGATGCTCTGATGCATAAAAGAAACATTCAATTCGCCTGTAATCGCAATTGTGCCCGTCATTGAGCGGGATCTTTCCCAGAGTACCGTGAAATCCTTCTCCGACATAAGCTCCTCCCTAGCTCCTTGGTAATTCTCACCTCTTCCCCGTGTAACTGTTTTTCTTCTTCTTATTCTCTGTCAACGTCTGTTTACCCCACAATTTAAATGAATTTTTTTCTCCACTTTATTTTCATTTATTCTGTGTCATGCTCTATCATCATTAAAACGTCCAAATCGCTTCCTTTGTACCTCTATTTTTCGGCAACAATTTGCTTATCTTGATTTAACATCAACAGGCGGCAGACAGGGGCGCAGGGTAGGGGTGATGGTGATGTTGGTGTTGGTGTTGGTGGCACAGGTAGGGGCGGTGCCAGAAGGGGACTGGCGGCTGGTGGCTGGTGGCATGAAAATCACTTGAGCGTGTTTCCTTTTGACCAGGCCCTGCCGGTTGAGTTTGGGCTTAATGTTTGCAGGCTGTGTGGCTTTCCATCCCATCCCATCCCATCCAACCTGCAGTATTTTCACACTCAGTTCATTTAATTTAATTTGTGGATATTTTTTCGGCTGCCTCAAAGAAGGAAAAGCATTGTAAACTGATACGAGCTTAATGATGTGAGCCCCTGCCCCCTTTTGGGAACCCTGGATCCTGCAGAGGTGTGGCAGAGTGTCGGAGAGAGTGTGGTTCAGTGTGTGCCTAGGCATTAATTAATTTTAATGAAGCTGTTGCTGTGCGAGTAGTTTTTGTGGTGCGTGTGAAGTGTCGCAAATTACAGACAATAAGCCCCCAAATGAGGGACGGATGGAAATTTTGGGAGTGACAGCTGACAGCCGGCACTGTGACGATTAATGCTGCAGTTGGAACTCTGAATTGGTACCGCAATCCGCATCGTTTGCCCGCGATTTGATGGCCTCTGATTTGAATCTTGAGTCTGAAACTAAGGTCTGAGGTTTTGCTTTTGGTCAAGTGTCTGCGTCCCAGCAGATAAGGCAACCTTCGGCTTCGCTTCGGCCAGGGCCTGAGACGGGGAACGGGGAACGGAGACTACGACGTAATCAAAAACCAGTTTCCAGTACAGAAACCTTCATTATAGGGATTTCGCTGCTCCTTTGCGCCTCAGTCCTGTCCCGAGTGTGACCATGTCCCTGGCTACGTACATATATGTATGTATGTATGTATGTACATACATATGTACATATGTACTCGTGCTCGTGTTGCATGAACGTGTATGCATAGCAAGGCGAATGGTTTGGCAACCCTTTTTGACACACAAACACCATTGCAGTAATGAAAGTAAATGCAGTTTGTACGTGTGTGAGTGGCTGTTTAGATGCCACACTGATGCATGATGCATGTGCGAGCCCATTGCATCTGTCGCTAGGGTGATTCAAGGTTGACTTTCGATAATCGAAAATCTGAAATTCTTGTATAGCAGTCACACTTAGTCTGCTATCAAAAAGAACGGGGTGAAATTTTTGCAAAAATAAGCTATCCCTCCGATCTATTTGTGTTTATTCATCATTCGTACACTCTGGGTTACATAAATATATCTGTGGGATCTCCATTCGTGGCATCGTTTACTTATCCCATATGGGAGTGAAGAACCCTCCTAACTTTGTAGAACTTCGATCTTTCCCTCCCTGATAAACATATGCATGTACATATGTATATAACCCGCTGTATGTATACAATTCACAAACACACACACACACACACACACACATATTGTATTCTTATACAAAATATACATTGTTTATGCAATTCTCGTGACTCCTTTTGGTTCTGTTCTGTTTTCTGCCTTTGTGGTTTTTGTTGTAGCCCATTTACGTATTTTCGCTTGGCTTTCTGCAGCTCTTTGCCTGTCTTCTGCTCTCCACCGTTCCCCACCTTGTAGTCTGCTGTTATTGTTTTTTCCACTTTGGCTGCATTCTCTCTGTCCGTATCTGTCCGCATCTGTCCGCCCAAGTGTCCGTCTGTCGGCTGCTCCTTAGACCTTGACCACTAACATAGAAACTGCTCGAAACCGGTTGTCGAGCAAACCCGATTTACGCGGCTGTCCTGTTCCGCAGACCCCCTCCCAGCCGCCATCTCGCCAACTCCTATCATCGAGTCCCATACCTGCGCAGATAGGCGTACATATACATATGTGATACCTACACATAGGCATGACTGAATGAATCTGTGAGCAATGGCTCGATGTGTGTGATTCAATTACCGAATCACACCCACAACTGTCGGCGAGGCGATCCGAAAATGAATTCCGCTTTGAGGTCTTCCAGCTGTCAAACCGCCAATTAATGGCCCAAACGCTGACTGGCTGACTGGCTGGCTGACGGGCTGACAGTGTCACAAATTATTAAAATGGTTTTCTATTATAATATTAACATCTAATGGTCACACGCACCGCACTCGGTCGTGCCCCAACTTGGATGGCGGCCGTGCATTTTAATTGCTGCGGGATTATGTGTGCCACGGAGCCTGGGCAAAGGGTTGCCGAAATTAATTACCAAAATGTTTGTTAATTTTCATAATTACAGGTCCCCAGCTAGCACGACTCTCGGTGGGAGAGTCGTGAGTGTAGCCCAAGATCGGATGTGGGTCGGGAATCCAAGTTTTGCCGCTCAATAAAGCGACTTAATGGCAGCACTACGGCAACCATAAAGACGACCCCCGACAACGTCTTCCGGAGCAGTAAGCAGCCCTGCCCATAGGCACCCCCATCATCAGTAGCTTCCCTTGCCGGTGACCCAATTCCGGTCGCTCGAGGAGTGGGAAGAATGGGAACAAAAGCAACCTACTTGTCATAATAATAATAACAGGAGAAAGAAGATCTAGCGTTGGGAGCAGAGCCGAAGTTAGAGCTACACTTCAATACAGATCTTTTATGTGAACTTAGTACATATAATATATGTACATATATTAATATACATATGTACATGTATATTATAACAGCAGTTCGCTTTCCTGCAATCGAGCAGTTCTGAATGATTGGAAAGGCCTGCTGATCACCGCTGATCAACCGTAGAATATATGGTAGCTGAAGCTATCATCTATACATTGCAAACTTCTGGTAAGAATTATAATACCCTCTCCAAGTGTGCACTAAATTATTTAAAAGTTTTCATGTGTGTAAACTTCTTGTTGTTTGCTGTTCTTATTTTGGGTAATTTGATCCCCTAATGTCGCCGGGAATCACGTGTTTCGAGTTTGATTCTCGCTCGTATCATTTGACCCCTTTTCCATTCTGGCTGCTTCCCTGGGTTCTACTGATTCGGATTCCCTGTGGATCGACAGCATCTGCATCTGGATCTGGGGGTGACCTTGTTTATGGTTCTTGAATTTCAAAACAACCCAACTAATTGATGCCCAACTTGTTGATAAACCTCGCCCCAAATTGGAACATAAAAGAGGCACTCACTAAGCTCACCAAACGATTGGATATTTATTTGTTAATTGAACTGCTTCAAAGTTCTGCCTCAGCCTCTGCCACTGCCTCTACCTCCTGTCTCTTCAGAGGTTGGTGAGGGCGTTCTATGGGAAGAGGAGAAGCGGGAGGAAGTACTCATTTGATTAGCAACTGTTTCGGGGATGCGATGCTGAAAGATGAACCACTTACAGCCAGATCGCCCAGGCCCTCGTTCAATTTCTTGATATAAGGGGCAGCAGCATTGGCGGCAGCGGCGATCGTCTTGGCACTCACAGCCTGAAAATAAACGAAATATTTGAGAACAACTTTGGGCGGAATTCGGAGAGGGAAACTTACTCCTCCTTCGGCTATGATCGAAGCACCGTCAGACTACGGAAAGAACACACAAAACTAGTTAGCAGTCAGCAGTCAAAGGTTATGCAGTTTTAGATCACTTACAGAGATACTCCGAGCCTGTGGTCCGGCCTTCACTTGCACACTGAGACTTGTGATGGCATTCTAGAAATAGAAAGCTTTAGATCACTGTCCAGGTTTCTGTAAGATTCAAAACTTACAGCCAAATCACCCAACCCAGTGCCCACGTCATCCAGAACATCCCCGAGAAGATTTGAGGCTTCGGGTTGGACATAATCAGTCTCGACGCTCAGGCTGGTGATGGCATTCTAGGGGAGATAAAATTGCTTAAAATACATTTTAACTATTTAAGAATCGACTGGCTTACAGCCAGATCTCCTAAACCATTGGCCATATCGCTGAGGATGTTTAGGGTTTCCGGTTGAACAATTTCGGGTTGAGAGACTCCGACAGCGTTCGCCAGCTGATGCCAAGCCTTTTCTCCGGCCACAGCCACCTGCGACACGTCACCCATAAAGTTGCCGAAGCTAAGGGTGCCCGCAGCGACCTGGTGGGTCATTAAGGCGATGGCCAAAATAGTGAAAGCTTTGAATGTCGCTTGCATGTTGTTTACCAATGAAGTACTGTTTGTCTTCTGGGCCAAATGCTGAATTTATAGTCTACTCTTATCGGTTCAAGAATGCAGGAGGTACGAGTATCAAAAACAAATCAGACTCAAGTAATAGGCATGATTCAGCCCAACTGGCAGGCGGTCTTGATTGATGGCCGAATTGGTTATCTGACTAAAGTCAGCGTATTTCCCCACCTATCTGTGGTATTATAGGAACTTGGATTTGTAGTCTCGAGTGGGTGTCGGAGGTTTTTAATCTCAGGGAGCCGAAAATAGACTGTTTCATGTGTAAGGGAGTCAAAACAAGGTGTACCCCGCGGCTATCTGGAGAGCAAGCACTTGAATATATTTTGAATCGCAATGGAATTAATTATGCTCATTACGATATTTGAGTAAATAAATCGATGTCAATTTCATTATTTTTCTGTTTAAAAAAGACCGGCAATCGAATGCGCCAGGTTGGATGCATTTGTGGCAATGGTGTTCGCAGCATCGCTTGCATCCTTGGCAATGGTGTCTGCAGCATTGGTGGCAGCTCCAGCCACGCTCGAAGCTACTCCAGCCGCATTCTGAGCAACACTTGCGGCATCACCTGCCACATTGCTAGCAGTGTTGGCTGCATCCTTGGCAACAGTTTGGCCCACATTAGCAGCTGTATCAGCAGCGTCGTGAGCTACCTTTACTGCATCGCCAGCAACATTTGTGGCATCCTTGGCAACACTATTGGCAGCACTGGTGGCGTCTTTGGCAACAGTCTCGGCAGCACCAGTAGCATCCTTCGCAACAGTTCCTGCAGCACTGGCTGCGGATCCTGCCACACTTCCTGCAGCACTGGCAGTGGCAATTGCACTGCTGGAACCAGTAGAAGTATCCTTTCCAGAGTTATCTACGCTTTCGCTGCAGGTGCAGGTGGTAACCTTGTTGGTGGACTGGTCAGTACTGGCAGCGACTTTATCAGTTGTGGAGTTCTGTAGAATGGATTCAAAAGATGGATGCATAAAATACTATTAGAAGGAACAAATATTCACTAACAGTTGAAGAAGCGGAAGTAGCTGAAGAATCCGAGGAAGAGGAGCTAGAGGATGACTGCAATGAGATTAAAAGAGAACATTAAATCAGCATTCTGCAGGATATATTCTATTTCATTTTTGCTAAACTCACAGAGGACATTTCCTTTTCGAGAGAACCAATTTCATCACTGCCAATTTGTTCCTAGCAAAAAAATAAGAATCTTGCCTTTTATAATTCCAGTCTTTAGCATTCCGTTGACTTACCGCTTCCTGGGATACTTCGTGTCCAAAGTTAATTGCGCTATTGGAGGCCTGGTGTCCGAACTGTGTTCCCTCGTCTCCCAATTCGTGGCCAAACTCTGAGGCGTCCTGACCTATCTCGTTGCCCAAATGGCTCTAAAGAAATAATGTACATGTGAGACACAATTCCCGATGAAACTGATAGCTCTAAGATGAGACAACGACAACCTACCAGAGAACTGGACACGCTCTTGGCGCTGGTCTGCTTTTGACCCACCAGTGCCACCACAAACAGCAGGGAAATTATGAACTTCATGGTTGAATATCGGGCTTGTTATTTTAACTAAATATATTCTTGGGCTTTGCACCCTTTATATACCCAAGATATAAATTCCGATATGAGTATCTCTGCACTGAGCCACGGGCAGGTCGAGCCACGACTTCGAAATTTCCAGTCTGGTCAAAGTTCTTATCTAAGGCGTGGGAGTGATCGATCCGTTTTAGAACCAAACGTTCCTGCTAATAATTGTTGCCCCCAGACAGCGTTCATTTTGTGGATAACAACTACAAATTTTGCAAAGATAAAACTATAGTGGTCGCTCTCCGTCTGGTCGGTTATCGGAAGTTGCATTGAGGACAAACTTCCTTAAGGGTATTGATCAAGCTAAGACTGTACCTACACACATATATGCTGAGGTATGTTTCCTTCCCCTTTCTATATTATTTTCTATCTCGGATACTCCTTGGGTATTCAGGCTTCTAGACTCGAGGAAAGCTTTCCAATAGCTTTTTTTCTAATTTTAACTAAGTTTGAATCGCATAAGTCATGCAAATTCTAATCGTCGAAATTGGGATTTTTTGGATGGGGTATAATCGATTGATCAAATATTTTCTTATCAGCGAGTAAATATTTTGGTTTGTAAATAAAAATGATAGTCACTGCTAGATATTTTCGCCCTTAAGTGGAAAAAACTTGAAGGGATTGGGCATTCCGTTGCGAAGTCTCTTCTGACGAGCCCGCCCCGTTCTTGGCTGAACGGTGGTCGACGGCTGATCCACATCCGTCTTAGACCTTCGATGGTTTTTAAAGTTAAAGTTCAGGAAGTACTTTGGCTGCTGGCGTCGCTTGCTAGTGGCGCTGCTGGCGGATACTGACGGGCGCCGCTTGCCATTGGAGTTTTCCAAGTCCTGGTGGCCTTGTGGCTTGGAGTAACTGAAGCGGATTAAGGCGTTCTTGGCCGGCTTGATGTTGAACACCTTCTGGCCAGGACTTCCCGTCGCCTGGTCCTGAAGAAAGTTGTGTTAATGCCGGGAAGATGCCTCTTCATTTGACTCACAAAATATCTCTCCAACTCGTTTCCCATTTGGATGGCTATCTTCATGTTTTTGTCCATTTTCTTCATGGCATCGCGGAATTCCGATGTCTGTACACCTGCCAGAATCAGCAGAGGCGACAGCAGGAACTTTACGAGTACTACCTGAACGGTTCTCATCTTCCTATTGACATAGCACATAGCAGGGCTGCGGTCGGTTAGGGGTTGCCTGGAAAATCGATTCGTTGCGGCTAACTTTGATGAAAAGTGTGAATATTTACTTATTTAGCTCGTTTGTGTTCCATTCAATCTTGGGCATCGATTGTACTCTCCACCAGAGATCAGATCCAGATTCCCGGAAACGGAGCAGGAGTTTTAGGTAATTTTTGAACCGGGGATAGATGGGAAATACTCTCAAAAAGATGCCAACTGATATTCTCTGAGATCTGCAATCTGTTTTTTTCGCTAACTGAATGAAAACAAAGTGCAGCATCCACTCTGATGTTTATTCAACTTTGATTTTTAAGAACTCCTTCGTTTCGAGTGCTTTCGGTTGGAGAACTCGAAATATATGGAGTAGACCTGGCCGGGCTTGCCGTTGATTAGATTAATTCCCCTCTTGCTTGACGCCTCTTTCTTTATATATTCCCCGAGATGCTCCTGCGCGACATGAGAGGTGATATGAGTGTTGAGTGTGAGGAAGTTCGGTTCGGAGATGACTTACAAACTGCTTTACGATGTCCTGACTCTGCTTCGCACTTATGCGTCGCCCGGATTCCAAATCCTTGGCCATTTGATGCATGGCCGTTTCAACGCGCTTCTCCTCCTGCTGTTCCTCTGCTATGGAGGAGGCTTGGTGGACCAGTAGCATCAGGGCGAAAAGGGCCATTATTGATGCCACTGTCGGACTCACCTGCCTCGTATGACCCATTTGCCGATTTGAACGGAAGCCGCGCAGGCAAGAACCTAATCCACTTAATCCGCGATTCTCCATAGACTTTCTTCGCCCATTGGCCATGCCCCACTGGGAGAATCGGTTCGTTGCGGTGCTTCAATCTCAGATCTGAAATGCCCATACGACTATATGTGTCAATGGCAGCTGGTCGCGCTCAGAGGAATCCCCGCAGCCCTTGGCCCGATTTATTGCCATTTTTATTCAGCACGCCAGCTATTCGATAGATTTTTGCATAAAACGCTTCCCAGCACTCCTGTTACGCGACACTGGGGTTATATCCCTCACTCGCCTAATGTAAACAAGTTATAAAATACTCGTAAAAAGCGAATCGAAGCTATGGCCACATAAAAAGGCTATAAAATCTGTTGCTGTTAATACTTGCTACTGTTCTGTCTAGGAAAAACAAGAAGGGGATTATACTGGCGGACGAAATTTCGAATACTCTTGCAGAATCACCAAATTATAGGAATAGTACATAGGAATATCAAATCTTGCTAATCGCCCAAAGGAATATATAAATATTTCTATTAGACATATTAAACAATAATATATTTGCCATATAGACTTGACTTTAGATCTAATTCATGAAATTATTATTCCATCTGTACACTATAATACCCGCTGTTAGGGTATACTATACCCAAACAAAGCGGTGACAGCAGGAACAACAGAATCATTTTTTACGGCAATGCGAAATGCTAAAATCGTAAACCAACAACCACGTGGGGTGTTTACGACATCTGGAAAGGGCACAGGAACAGGGGTTAGTACAGTCCAAGGTGTCCTGCCCTGCTGTAACCCCAAACCCAACTCTCATTATCGCCAAATCAAAATGCGTTTGTCAATGAATTAGAATCGCTTCGATGGCGAAGGCAGTCGTAAAGTATTTTCCTTTTACCGCTTTTACTATCGCACTATAGTACATATGTAGTAATGCGACATTAATTCTTATGTTCTCGAAAAAAATTTTTTAAACATTCGTTTTATTCAATGAATTCTATTTACATGCGCATGCCTCCTACTACTTTCTACTACTTTTCTGTGAGAGCATTGGCAACACTGCTGCATAAATCATCCCCAAAACTATGCCAGAATTCATATTCCGTATGGGCTCTGCCGTGCGCTTAACTAGTGCTTTTGGCACTCAACGGTCAGAGGCAGCGTGGCCGAGCGGTCTAAGGCGCTGGTTTTAGGCACCAGTCCGAAAGGGCGTGGGTTCGAATCCCACCGCTGTCACATCTGAGTGGTAATTTCTTTTTCTTCTTTTTTGAATTCAATTTTTTATTTTATCACTTTCTATTTATAGACACAGTTACATAAAGTCATATCAAAATAAATCACGCTCACTAATATAGTTCCAATTGTTGAAAGAATGCGCACGTATATGGTAAAAATGGAAATGTTCATAGATATCACAGATTGCGTATTTGACTTGTACTTTGGTATAATTTAATAGAAACATCAACAGCGATGCGATGATAAAATTGTTCTCATTCTTTGAAAAATATTCTAGCTATTTGTTGTCGTAGGCGTTAGCAATCCTCTGGCAGATCGGCGACAGGCGGCAGCGTGGCCGAGCGGTCTAAGGCGCTGGTTTTAGGCACCAGTCCGAAAGGGCGTGGGTTCGAATCCCACCGCTGTCAGAAACGAAAGAGATTTTTTGCTTCGAGCAACAGCAGGAGATGCTTTATATTTTCCATATTCCACGCCTAATTAACAACCGCGAAACGAGTCAGACCCCTGACTCCGGTCCCGCTTACAGGCACTGACAACGTTTATCTGGCGTTGACATTTCCCGCGTGCTCCGCTTTCAACATAAACCCTTTTGCGGTAACATGTTGATCTCGTTAACAACCCGCGGTGCGGACCGAAACGTAATGAAAGGGAAATGTCAGGAAATTAAAAGGGTTTGCGGTCCCAGATGCGGAAAGACCTTTGAAATGGAATAGATGAAAGTATCAAATGTCCGACGAGCCCCGTGGATAGTTCTAAGCTCCCACTGACTTTGATACCGCAAATAATGGCAGGATGATGGCAAGGGAAAGATTTGCCGCTGAAACTGTACGGCTGTGCTCAATACTAACAGTGTATTTATAGTTATGGAAAATTTTGTGTAATTTTTCCGAGCCACAGGCCAATCGACGCACTAGGAACGGGTTTAAAAGATGACGGCGACTGATACCTCGTTACGACGGGCAGTCCAGTCTTGGTTAGACTTAACACTCCGTTGATCGGGTAAATCACACTGCGTACAGGGGAATGACTGAGAAGATCTCGAATTGCATTAGAGATATCGCTCGAGCATATATGTGTGTACAATGTGTACAAACATTCTATTGCAGATGATGCATGACAAATGGGCAAATCCCTAAAGGGATGCCGTTAGCACCGGCAGTTTATGGTAGAACACTTTTATTGCACGCCAGGGTGATGAGTGTACCACGAAAATAGTTTATAAAAATATTATTTGGAACTCTACTTCCTCTATAATCAATGTGTGACGAGATTCGAATTCCGGGCAGACGTCATCGGTTATATATGTATAGTTCATTGCTCCCTCTGTGGATGTTTCCCTTTAGCATAATTTTTCGGTAGTCCGGCCTCGATGGAAAACCTTCAGTGTTGCCCAGTGGCGTGCATCTCTCCGGGCTATGGCTAGTCACTGACCAGAATGCTAGTAAATGCTTTAACCGCAAACTACGCCCCGGAGAGAACTGAGAACAGACGGTCTTCATTGATAAACCCGATCGCTGCGCCCTCGGCTTCTGCTCGAGAACCGCGCTTCGGAACAAACGAGGCTTGAACGAAGCTTGATCTGCTGCTGAAGCTGAAGTTGATGCTGCGGCTATAAAAAGCTGGCGTAAAATGCAGGCATCTCACAGTCCATTTTATGGGTCAAGTAGAATCGTTCGATCCCAAGTGAATAAGTGCAATTTATTACCCAAAAATGAAGGTGTTCGCGACGGTATTTCTCTGCATTCTGATTGCCAAAGCTGCAAGGGCCCAATGTGAGTGTCAACTCCAGTTCGTTGGAATGTCTGTGGATAGCGATATCGCTTTAGAAATACCCCAAAATCAGTGGGAATCGCACAAGTGCGAGAGAGTGTAGTGAATAATTCTAATTGAGCCGGTTGGACCAGTTGGCGAAGCCGGTGCACGCGCAACGCTCAAGTGGGGTACAGCCCAGAGTGAAGTGCTTAGTGATCAAAATGTGCATGGCTGGATTGAATCACAGAATTGGCCCTCCTCTAAAATGATCAATGTACAAGTTGGACAGTCGACCACAAGAATGTCGCAAGGGGATTCCCCTAAGAACAAGATTTTGATGGTGTCTCTTTTCTCTTCCCTTGCTCTTCCAGATGACCGATGTGTGAACCCGAACCAGCGGGCCGGTCTTTGTGTGCACATCAACGAGTGCCAGACCCTCTACTCGGTCTTGAAGCAGGCCAGCCTCTCGACGCTGGAGAAGCAGTTTCTCAAGGCCTCGGCTTGTGGGATGGGTACTGACAACCGGCCTTTCGTCTGTTGCACCCAGGACACGGGCTACACAAGAAACAGGCGCCTCACACCTTCCTTTGCGGACTATGACGGATTTGGTGTGGACTGGAGGGAGGAGAGGCCGAACAATTTCGCATTTCCGAATGAAGCACGCCGCTCCTGGAATTTTGGCGGTAATGGCCAACGATTTGACAGTACTCCGGCTCAGACACAGCCGAGAGGACAGTCGATAACCAGCGATGGCTCCAGCCTCTTGCCGCAGCCCCCCACCTGCGGTGGTGTTGCCATAAAGAACAGAATCTACGACGGTGAGGACACCGATCTCAACGAGTTTCCCTGGATGGTGCTCATGGAGTACCGCAGACGTAGCGGCAACGGCCTCTCCACCAGCTGCGCAGGATCGCTAATCAATCAGCGGTACGTCTTGACAGCAGCCCATTGCTTGACGGGACGCATCGAAAGGGAGATTGGACCACTGTAAGTGTGCATTTGGAGATGAACCTGTAGGAGGGGATTCCTGCTATGAAGTTGTAGTTTCCATAAGTAAATCCAGAGTTCTGTTGATTGGTTTAGAGGGGATCTCTAGCTTGGACTGGTTTTCAGCTAGGAAAGTTTACGAAATGCGTAGGATCTTAGCATTTGAAGTAAAGCTTGATTTTAGCAATTATTTTTGGGATTCCTAATTTTAAGGTAGGGCCAAAGGGGATTTCCACCTTTTAGCCGCTTTTGGTCAACAGTTTTAAGAACTCCAATGATTTTAACAGATGAAGTGAATTTTGGAATTTCGGTCGTTGCCAAGCGGGAATTTCAGTATCCAACACAAACCCATTGATCCGATTCATGAATGGGTGGTAGTTGAAAAGCCCGACTCCAACCAAATTATTGCTGAATCAAGCTGAATCGAGCTCCTGCTATATATGTATGCTCGTATGACTATTCCCGTTCAATCCAGTTCCAGTTCCAGTTAATGGGCGAAAGTGGCTTATTCACGATTGTTTGTGCGCTAATTCCGGGAAACGACTTGCCTTCTCCGGGTAATAATCAAGATCAAAGGGATCCCCAGAGCTCTAAGACATTGCCAAGCAGTCATTGCTGTTTTAGTTCAACTCTCAGCTAATTTTAAGAATATTAATTAGCTCGATAGACGGCCAAAAACCAGATCCGGAGTGTTTTGCTGCTTGTTAGCTGGTTATGATTCACCATCAGCTGGAGCGATCGAATGGAGCAGGGCGCCAAAGTGGGTTCTGGGGGGTACTCTGACGCTACGCTCTTAATTTTGGTTGGTTCTCAAGCACCAATTAGCAGACTAATTCTAGTGTTTAATGATCACCGTTTAAATGCTCATTCTCCTGTGTATCTTTCTTTCCATACAGCGCCTCGGTTCGTTTGGGCGAGCACGACACGCGCAGTGCGGTTGACTGTCCCAGCGGTGGAGGAGGTTGTTCTCCGGAGGCCCAGCGCCTGGGCTTCGAGGAGATCCGAGTGCACGAGCTCTACAGCGAGAAGTCGCCCAACCAGATCCACGACATCGGCCTGGTACGCCTGGAGCGGAATGTACGCTACTCGGACAGTATTCGCCCCATATGCCTACCTGGAGTCGTGGGTCCGGAGTCGCGGCAGGGAGGTCAGGAGTTCACAGTGGCAGGCTGGGGACGTACCCTGAAGATGGCCAGGAGTCCGGTGAAGCAGAAGGTGGTCGTGAACTATGTGGAGCCGGCGCGGTGCCGGCAAAGGTTCGCCCAGATTAAGATTAATGTGGAGCCGACCCAGATGTGTGCAGGCGGACGTTTTAGGCAAGACAGCTGCGACGGTGACTCCGGTGGCCCATTGATGCGGTTCCGCGATAATGCCTGGGTCCTTGAGGGCATCGTCTCCTTCGGTTATAAGTGCGGCCTCAAGGATTGGCCGGGAGTCTATACGAGTGTGACTGCCTACGACATTTGGATCAGACAGAATGTGAGGGCTTAGAGCCCCTACTGGATAGGGTATCTAGCAGATGCTAGCATAAGTTCAAAGCTCAAAATGTGATCTTATTTTGTCTAAGATTAATGTAGAACCTAACTTAGATTATCCGAGTATATTTAAACTATAATCAAATAATATAAACCCTGAGTTAAAAGCGTTTGGTTTGCTATTTCATATCTATTATGCCTTTGATCACAGGGTAACCTCAACGATGGTGCTGTTTTCCGCCCCAAAAGTGATTGAACTGTTCTGAAAAACCTTTGGATTTCCCAGCCCAGCCGGTTGGTCGAAGCAAGCGCCTGCCATTGACATTGCCTCCGCGCTTTAATGGGCTAAACCACAAGAAAACTTCCGGTGTCAGGTGTTTGCAAACGGCTTGGACTTTGGCCAAAGCGTGAGCCACAGCTTTCTGCCAATTAGCTCCTCCTAAAAGTGGGCAACACTTCTGGGCCAAAGCTTTACCTCGCCGCTTCCCAACTGGCGCTCGTGTCGTGGCCCGAACGAAAGTGAAACCAGCTGGAGAATTGCATAACCTAGCCGAGCCGAGCCGGACCAGTTATCGGGCGATGCTGCTGCTCCCGTTTCAGTGCCGCCTTCCGACTGCAGTTTTGGACTCGTTTTCGTGTGAGACTGAAGCGGGGGCGACAGCAGCAGCAGCAGCAGCAGCATCGATACCGTTTAACGGCTCATTTGTTGACACCTGAGCTTCAGTTTTAGGTTGAGCTCTTCGGCTCTTCCGACTTCTCTGACTCTTCAGCGGTTTCGGTTTCGGTTGGGGCCGCGACTATGGGACTGCCACTGGCACTGGGTCTGTCGCTCTGCGCATTCAAATTCAATACACAGCTGAGCGTTCACGCGAGCGGATTCAATTTGTGTATGCGTTCGGCTCGGCGGACTGGGGCTGGGATTGAGATAGTGATTGCGATTGTAACAGTGATTGTGATTGTGATTGCGTAGAGTAAACCTCTCTCGCCACGCGGTTTCGCAAGTCAGAGTCAACAGTCAACAATCAACAATCGATCGATCGATTGACTGCCGATGCAGTGGGCAGCGCTCACGCTGTGGGCAGTGCTCGGCTGCTGTTCCACGCAGGCGGAGCACCCTGCGCCGGAGCGCCAGGCCTGCGACATTCCCAATGAGACGAAGCGAGGCGTGTGCGTCCAGGTGAGCCAGTGCGCGGCCTATCTACAGGTGCGAAATGTCACCAATCTGCCCGCCGAGAAGGTGAACTTCCTGAAGAAGGTGCAGTGCGAAATGGAGATACACGGGGAGGAGGATTCCTATGAGTCGCTCGTCTGCTGCCCGGCTAACGGGCAAGACTACCTCTTCCCGGTGCTGCAGTTCTCCAAGTTCGAGTACCGCCGCTTTCTCGACGTCACCGCCCGATTCAAGCGGAAGAAGCTGAAGCGGCGCATCCATACGGTGGAGCCCAGCACGGGATTCAATCTGCTCAACGAGTGTGGCAAGCAGGTCACGAACCGCATTTACGGTGGAGAGATTGCCGAACTGGACGAGTATCCCTGGCTGGCCCTCCTGGTGTACAATTCAAGTGAGTCGTTGATCCTACTCCCAGACACTTCAGATGTTAGCCCGTTTTCTTATTTTCCACAGATGACTACGGTTGCAGTGGAGCACTGATCGACGATCGTCATATTCTGACTGCCGCCCACTGTGTCCAGGGCGAGGGAGTGCGTCAACGGCAAGGCCTGTGAGTGGTTCCATAGATCGTGTCCTCAGATCATTTTATCATCATCTTTTTATATTCAGAAAGCACGTTCGTCTGGGGGAATTCAATGTGAAGACCGAACCGGACTGCATCGAGGAGCCCAATTATCTCAGCTGTGCGGATGCTGCCCTGGACATCGGATACGAGCGGATTCATGTGCATCCCGAGTACAAGGAGCACTCTAACTACAAATTCAACGACATAGCCATCATCCGGCTGAAGCATCCAGTCTCCTTTACGCACTTCGTCATGCCCATCTGTCTGCCGAACAATACTTCGCCTTTGCCCTTAGCAGAGGGCCAAATGTTCTCCGTATCCGGCTGGGGCCGAACGGATCTTTGTAAGCTTTAAATATCCCTACACTGCATGGATCACAATCTTATCTATACTTCTTCCATCGTCAGTCAACAAGTACTTCATCAACATACACAGCCCCATAAAGTTGAAGTTACGTATCCCCTACGTCTCAAACGAGAACTGCACCAAGATCTTGGACATGTTCGGGGTGCGTCTGGGTCCCAAGCAGCTGTGTGCTGGAGGAGAGTACGCCAAGGACACGTGTGCCGGTGATTCTGGAGGTCCACTCATGTACTTTGATCGCCAGCACTCGCGGTGGGTTGCCTATGGGGTCGTCAGCTACGGATTCACGCAGTGTGGCATGGCCGGAAAGCCCGCTGTCTATACGAACGTGGCCGAGTACACGGATTGGATCGCTGGCGTTTTGCAGCAGCAGCAGCAGTCAGCGATCTCTTGACGTCAGATTTCGGGGGCTCCAACAATTGGCGCCTAATGACAGCCCAGATCTGTTTGTACATATTTTGCTAATTATCTAACAGATATCAACTATTTGACTAAGCGTGGGAGTGAATGAGTGTGAGTGCTACTTGGAATGTGAGTGCGAGTGTGAGTGTGTGCGTGTGTGTCTGTGACTGTGCGCTAACAGAAGTCTGAAAAACATGTTTCTATTTAAATAAACTACTGAAAAATGTACACTCCGTTGACTCTAATTGAAGCGGAGAGGCAAAAACATTGAAGCTGGAATAAGAGATTGCGAATGACTCATCTGTTGAGTTGATGAGTGCCCCTCTTGGAGACAGATGCCCCCTCTGCAGCGAGCCATCAGCTGTTTCTCCTCTCTTTGAACAGCTGGTCAAACCTGATGCCGATGCAGTATCTTCTCCGTCTCGTCTTGATGTCGTCATTGATTGCCACACTTTGCTTTCACTCCACATTCGCGTGCACTCAAAAACGTAGCCGAAGAAGCTCGTAAAGCAGCGGCAATGGGGCCCATGATGCAATGTCTGCCAATCCAAGCCGATTCCCAGGCCAAAACCGAAACCAAATCGGAATGCAAATCGATGCCGGCCATTCATCAGGCCTCCGTTCGAGCCGAAAATAGCCAGCCCCAGACACGATCCACCGATCCATTTGTATGCGATGCGCAGGTGGGGCTCAAGCTTAGCCCCCTCTGCCAATTTGTGTGCCAGTGACCAAAATTGGCCGGCCAGAGCCAGGAGGAGCGGGGGCAGCTTGTGTGGCCAGTCGCCGCTCATCTTATCCGTGCGTCATGGTAGGCGGGAGTGAAAGTGAACTTGACTCTTGGACGGGTTGGATTTGATTTAATGCCAGTACCCATGCTGATGTGGATGTTGATGTTGATGTGTGCGATATGCGATATGCCGCATTAATATTCATGATGTTTATCAGCCGGCGACACCACCTCGCCGGGTAGGCCACACCGGGGCAAAGACAACAAGGCGCTGCCAGCGACACCATCAACGAGCTATGATTGTGCAGCTCATTATCGAGTGTTGGCGATTTTTGTTAACCTTGAACCACATACACGCACCAGAGATACACCCATACGCACATATGCGCATAGATATGGGAATTGGCAAACAAGAGTGACATTGAACCGGAGGGCTCCCCTCTGATAACCGGCTTGCCATCGAAACCTTCTCAATGAACAGGTAAGACGTCACTATGATACAAGTTTTGTGTATCGAAGGTTTGTCAATGATACGGTGAATATTTGTGTGATGCCTCTGGATCTATGATGTATGTATGTACATGTCTTATATGCATCGTTGAGATTAATGTTGATGCACTCATGAATGAACTGAATTGTAACGAAGCAACTTTCGGGAAACATTTTGCCGCTGCTCTGTTATTTCGATTTTTTAGATAGAGAATTCAGCCAAACTTTTGTATTATCTTCTGTGAGATCCGATATGGAGTTGTACATCTGCCGTGCGGCACCATTCACGTGTCAATCAAAACAGAAGCAAACTCGCAACCGCAGGACCATTGAAAGGTCCACTGGGCGGAATAATTCGGTTATGGCCACGCCCACACGGCAATTATAAAGTCAATTTAAGCTACTTTAAAGAGAGAAGAGGAACCAGGAAAGCAGAACAGGAACGGCAGAGCACAAAGGCGCAGGAAAGAGGAAAAGCCTTCTAATCAATTTACTGGCCGACCGCGGGCAACCCTCCGTCGACTTTGATAATTGTATTGGGCTTCGCATTGTGGAAAGTTTGTTTTCAAATTGGGAAATTAGAAGGCGAGCTATGAAATTAGCCATATGGCCGGGCCAGACCCAGACCCAGACCCAAGCGAAGAGTTTGGCATTCTCCTCCCAGGTAGAGCGTTGTTTTGTTTTCCATTTATGACATTGGCAATTGCATTTCCGTTTATTCGCAGCTGAGACGCGAGACCCTCTCTCTACTATAAAACTTTATCGACTTGTTAACTCAGCTCGGATCGTATCAATAAATGCCAACGTGCGACACAGACGTTGACATGCCATTAAACGTCACTGCCAGGACAGGACAGGACAGGACACGGATACGTACACGGGCTCGTACACACAGCCTTCTACACTTTATTCTCTTCCACTCCACTCGGTCGAATTCGCAAATGCTTTGCATGAGGAGTGAGCACTTTGCACCCCCTCAGGGAAGGAAAAGACCGAGCGCTCGGGACAGGGCAAGGGTAACATTTGGGCCAAATTGTTGTATAAATTCAATGAAATTAGAATGTGAAAAAGGGAAATATAAATAAGTGGATATAAAAATGGCAAGCATTTGGATCGCTTTCATTAGTTAATGGATGGTCCGTGAGGGAAAGAATTACTCAAATTGCAAACAGAATTAAACGCAAGGAAAACGATATGTCCCGAGTTGGGTACTGCCTACAGTACATCTTATCGCAAAATAAGAGCTAAGCATAGCAGTCAAGCAGTTATTTGTTCGCTGTTTCCAAAGAGCACAGAGCAGAGAGTTTTACTATCAGAGCTACGAATTTTCATTTTCATAAAACGAGTATCTTCGCCTCAACAATAGTAGTTTTATCACTTGTAGTGGTTGAGTCGAGCGAAGCAGACAGGATGGGGAGCTTCTTTCTGGTGCTAGTTGTGCTGAGTTTTCTTCTGACATCCATGGCAGAAGAAACAGAAACCGAGGTAAGCCAGGTACCCTGTCATTCTCCTCTAGTATATCAAGAGAGTACACCTCATTCGCGTATCATTAGGAAAAGAGCTCTTCCGTTGAGGACTTTGACTCCCACACACATTCTGGGATTCCAATCCGTCATCGCAGCTCGGAGCATTTTGATATTCTAACCACGGTAGGTCTTGTATTCCTCCATTCATGAAATCTTAAATGAATCCATACCTTCTCACCAGGCGGATAATTATACGAAACGACACGTCCGTAGAATGGCTTTTGGCGGAAGAAAGCAGAATCAGCATTCCAGAAAACCGAGGCGCATGAAGATTTTTAACTGACACCCGTTTCGTCGAGGTCTCCACTTAACTTAAGGCGCGACTGTGCACTCTGTAGAATGCGTTTGAAGCATACTTTTGCGGTTCATTTTGGTGCAGAATTCATGTAAAATCGTGTAGCCCATGTATCAATAAATGTATGTATATTTCTCTGTTGTATTCCACACTCAGGCATTAACACTAACACATGAGTCCGAGCAGCATCGCATTTGCAAGTCTTGTAACGGTTCTCATGCATGTTAGCTATACCAGTATGTGTTTCCTCACTGCCGAGTGAGGTAGTAGACCCGATTCTCCAAAAGAGTTAGGGGTATATTCCATTTTCAGCGGAAAATGGACTTGTGTAACGCCCATGTATCCATGTTTTTTTCCTGTCTGGTATACATTTTATCAAAGCATTCGTTCAATCGATGTCTAGTTTTTGCATTGAACTGCAACGCAGGTTGCTTAATTCTTCTTTTGAAACCCAGATGCGGCAGTACCAAGCTGAACGGTGCTTAGAGAAGGGACCCCGCACGTGTCCACCAAATATGAGAGTCCCACCAGGTCCCAGTGAGCTGAACTCTGAATCTTTTTTAATATGCCAGCCATAATATCATCATCTCTCCATCTAGCTATAATCATGCACGTGGTGTAAGAATATTCAGACTTTCACTTTATGCGAAAATTATTATTCCGAAATTTGCATATGCCAAGAACAACCCCCGCGTATGACGAGGACCAGGCACTCTTCAATCCATTTTCGATATTTATTAGAAATTAGCAACATGCTGTTGAACAACTTAAAATACAACAAAATTATTGCAATTCGCTGCCGCTGAACGTTACGTCGACGGGGTCCTGTACAGTGCCAGAATGATAAGTTTTATGAGGTTAAGATCTGTTCATTCAATTGAAAACTTCAGAGTTCCACTGCAAATAACGCGACCGAGCGCGAGTGAGGCCACGATACGGGGAGTGGAAGATGGAATAATATTTGTGTGGGCCACTGGGTCAGGACACGGGTCAGGGCCTCGGGCCAAACAGGTCCCGCAATAAAAAGAATATTTAATTCCTATTACACAAAGGGCGGTGTGGCAAATTTGCATATGAAAAACTTAATTACATAGCATTTTGTAGCGCTTTTCCAATCCGTAACATTTCTAATTGAACTTTTCAACTGCTGAGCAAACAAAAAGAGCGCCCCAGGTTCTGTCCGGGAGGGTGTGGCTAAACAAACAGCGACATATGTGAGAGAATCTCACATTCCACATCCCACAAGGGGTGGGACTGTGGACTGGGGACTGTACCAAGATGACAAATTCGTGTCATTTGGCCAAGGAAACAAATAAATAAGGTGAGAGCAGTGTTGCCACATGTGTGTATGTGTGCTCTGATATGCGCCTTTTGGCAACTTTCCCAAGACCTCAAGTGGCTCTCGTCCCCGTCCACGTCTAACTCCACGGGTTCGAGAGTTGCATAGTTCCTCAATTCCGACAGTTTTTGCACATTAGCACGCAGCACTCGAGATAATGCGGAAAACTTGGGGAGTAGGAGAATAGAGCTAAAGTTGGAGGATGAGAAGAAGAAGGACCACTTGAAGCTGTCAGCCAGACACTTACAGGGGCTTCATGTCGCATCGCCCTCCTTGAGCAGATTTTGAAAGTCAAACAAAATTTGATAGCCAGAGACAAAGCCAACACCAAAGCCAAAGCGAAAGGACCAGTTAACGAGAAAGGACTGAGTGCCGCAGGCGGAGACAGGGACCACCAACAAAACGTTCTAAATTGGACCACATGCGGACCTCCAGACCTTTCTCCCTGCCATGAGACCCTGCGACCCACCAACTATGCAAATAACATTAATTGTTTCACCAAACAAAGCGAATGCAAAACAATAATCATGGGGTGGGGTGGGAGGTAAAATGGAGAATGGGAAATGGAAACGATACAATTCGGAATTTGAATTGAAGTTGGAAAATTATAATGTATGTAGCCCTATAAAGCAGGCCAGGGGCCACCACATGCCGTCCAACAGTCGCGGAAAGCGGAAGCGATTCATTCAGGTTTGATATGGGATACGACGATACTGGTACACTCAGCGATATTTTCGAGTACAGTCAGCGCAGGCAGAACCAACCCCAGAAAGCGACTAGCGTGAGGGGTGGGAGAAACCGAGCGAATACATCAAACACCACCCCACGAGGACTTTATAATGCTCGCTACAC